GATAGCTTCTTGGTTAGGGTGGGAGCTCACGTCCACTCCCCCCTCTCAGGGCTGGGGAGGAGAAACTTCTTAGGCAACGCCTCTGATGAGCTTCATGACATCGCAGGAGAAGCGCACTGGGGTAAACTATGTGTGTGGCTGCTCCTGCAAGCGGTCGTGGGTTATGACAGGGCCAGGCTGTGCCCGTCTCTCCAGGGATGAGGGGTCAACACACACCTGTAACCCACGCTCCCTAGTGCTGGGAAGCTTTGTTCAGGGATCTAGGACGATGCTCCCCCTTTCCCACCAGGATCACCAGAATCCCAGCGTCACCAAGGTTCTTAATGTGCTCTATGCCTCTAGTTTTGTTAATATCTTAGGTGATTCTGCTACATGCCCCAAAGTGTGAGAACCACTAACTTGAATGTTAAAGAAACAAGAAAGAAGGAGGGGAATGGAGAGACAGAGGGACGGAAGAAGGACATACACTATGGAAATCAGTATAGAGGGTCCTCAAAAACAAATAAACAAATAAAATAAAATAAAATAAATGACCCAGCTTACCACTACTGGATTCCTACTTGGAGGCCTTCTAAGTCAGCATACCTCAGAGACAACACATATATCCATGCCAACCAATACCTTATTCACAATGCACAGAAACAGCCCAACACCACAGAGACACTTGGACATCCGTGCTGATTGCTACCCGATTCACAAGAGGTAGAACCATCCTAGATGTCTATCGACAGATGAACGAATTAAAAAAAAAATGTGGGCCGGGTGGTGGTGGCGCACGGAAGGCAGAGCCAGGCGGATCTCTGTGAGTTCGAGGCCAGCCTGGGCTACCAAGTGAGTCCCAGGAAAGGCGCAAAGCTACACAGAGAAACCCTGTCTCGGAAAAAAAAAAAAAATGTGGTACATATATATAATAGACTTCTATTTCGACATAAATAAGAATGAAATCATGATGTACAGGAAAATGAATGGAACTGGGCATCACTATGTTAAGTGAAATAAGCCGGATTCAGAAAGTGAAGTTTTCCATATATGGAATTTGTGTGTGTGTGTGTGTGTGTGTGTGTGTGTGTGTGTGTGTGTGTGTGAGAGAGAGAGAGAGAGAGAGAGAGAGAGAGAGAGAGAGAGAGAGAGAGAGAGAGAGAGAGACTTGAAAGGAGCGCTAACGGAAGGGAGGCAGGAGGGAGGTGACAGAAGAGACGAGATAGATGTGACGTGAAAGCAGAAGGGCCATGTGAAGAGAGAAGGGAAGGAACCAAGAAGAGAGAGCAGGGAGAGGCGACAAGGGCCGTGGGGATAACTAAATAAGAACAAATTATGTCTGAAAATGCCACAATGAAACACATTACTTTGGAACCTAACTTTAAAAAAATCAATTAAAAAAAGAAAGAAATCCGTGAGTGTCACATCCCAGGAAATTCGATATGTCCCTAATGACCAAACCTAAAACAAAGGTCAGCAAGATAAAAGAACACACGACAAGCAGTAAGAGTAACAGGGTGTGTAAACTCAGGACATAAATTAGTTTCTCAAAGCAGGTAGAAACAGGATTCCTGCAGATCAGCTTTCACAGGGAGAGCGTGCAGAGAGATTCAAAGGGCGCTGGGACACCTGGTCGACCTCCTGGCCAGGAGAGGATTTCAGGTGAGAGGAAGAGCGGAGAAAGTCCTTTTAAACCTGAGCTCTTAGAGGCCAAGTCTGGGTTCTGTGAAGAGCCGCAGGGAGAGGCAAGGGCACTCAAGGGGAAGAGAAAAAAACACCAGAAAGGCTTTGGAAGGACAGTCAGGACAAATGGAACACGGGCTAAGCCTTTGCCTGAGGGCATCGCTGAGCTTTTCAAGGGGGCAGTGGGGAAAGGGGGGGCGGTGGGGGAGGGGGGGGGGGGGCGGTGGGGGGAGGGGGGGCTCACCCTTTTTCTTAGAGTCCCCAGTCACAGGCTGCTCACCCTGCCTAGACGCTGAGGTCTGAAGTCTGAGCCTTTGGCTCAGATGACAGTGTCGATCTGTGGCTTCTCTCCGGATTTTACTGTTACTTATACCATGTCTCTGGGACAAAAGTTCAGTAAGGCTACTCTGGAGTCTGTCACCCAAAGCCCTTCTGGAAGGTGAGGGCTGGGCACTTACTTCAGATCCCAAGATTTCAGCTTGAGTCCTGAACAGTCATTCAAATAAATGAAAGACGGGAACAGCGCGGCATAAAATGGTAATGCAGGGATGTCAAAGAGCTAACTGACACACAGATAAAATGAATACAATCCAAACTGAGTCCTGGAGGCCCATGCCTTTGTCCTTCCTTCTCCCAACTCAAAGACTTTAATTACTATTTATCATTTATTCATTTACCTATTTGAGTCCTGGTTATTGTGGAACTCACTATGTATACCAGACTGGCCTTGAATTTACAAAAACTGACCTGCCTCTGCTTCCCAAGTGCTGAAATTAAAGGTGTGCAACACTGCAACCATCTTAATCCAAAACAAAAAACAACAACAACAAAAAACTAGCTAATGGATCTGCTGGTGTTATCCACCTGTGGATCTCTCGTACTTCCGACAGAAGGGGTGGAAGCTGGGGCGCCGTCACAGAGCCCTCGATGGTGAAGGATGTAGGTGAGCCAGCCAAGATCTAATTTGGGGGTGTTATAAAGTGCTGGAGTACTTATCAGGAATGCTGGTCTGAACTGCCCATTCCGTTAGGAATCTGATGGATTGAAAAGGCCAGTTTGGGAGCTATGATGGTTCATCTCCCTTGACAACTTGCATGGCGTTAGGGGCACTTAGGAAACATGTTTCTAGGGGTAGCTGTGGGGGTGTTTCCAGAGAGCAGAACTGGGAACGAATGGCCCACACTGATGTAGACAGCATCATCGCATGCACTGGGGTCTAGGACTGAATAAAAACAGGAAGAAGCGGGGTGGGGGGGGAGGTGAGCTGAATGTGAGCATTCACCTGTTTCCTAACTGTGGACGCGGTGTGACCGGCTGCCCCGTGATCCTGCCACGCCCTCCCCACTGTGATCCACTGTACCCTCAAACTGTGAGACAAAAATCAACTCTTCTCCCCTTCAGTTCCCATTTGCCAAACATCTTATCACAGTAATGAGAAAAGTAACTGACTGAAGAGATACTGCACGCTCCCCCATCCCAGCTCTGCCATTTCCAACAGCCTCAACCTTGCCTTTACTGGGGAAACTGGACCGACACTCACATTCCTCCCTGGAAACAGAAACCTGTGTTTCAGTTCTCCACTCAGCACTTAATCTGCCAGGTTCCAATGCTACATCTACTATTGCTATCTGCCTTCAAACGGCCCAGGAACTCCCCCACGAGGTATACAAAGCAGCAGTACCTCTTCAAATCCAAATTTCTACCAAGCAAGGAAATGGGCAATGTCCTCCCCCCCACCCCAAAGGATCAATGTTGGGACAACTTTCTCTTTTTCCAGCCAGGTACATCGGGCATCCACTCACTACAGTCATCAAGCTCTGGGGGACTACAAAGATGGTCTGTTTTTACAGGAATGTTGAGAACCCAGCCTCTTCACAGAACCAAGCTGGAGGAAGGCCAGCCTACAGAGCAGATTGCAAACTCTCCTTGCTTGCTCCTCGCTGAGAGTGAAGAGGAGAGAAAGGTAGTGGGCGGTGTCAGGCCCCTGGGCAATACAAAAGCTATCTGCTCCCAGGTCAAAACAGCCTACCACACTCCAGGTGAACCAAGAACCCCCTCCCAGCAAGCTCCTCTCTCCTGATTCTTACTAATGCAAACCAACAAAGCCTTGTTATAATACTATAAGACGTCCACACCCTGTGGCATCTCTACATTGGGGAAGCCCGCCCCTTACCTCTCAGTCTACATTAGCACCTTCACCCTCAGCCACTCTAGAGGGCAGTCTTATTCCCTCAATGCACTGAGGGTCATCTGTGTAGTCCCACTTGACTGGAAGTGGCCAGGTCTTTAGGCTTTAGAGCTTGGTCATTTTTGACATTCATTCCTGTAGCCTGTGTCTAGGACAGGCCTAGGAAAATTATAAGCACCTATTTCCTTATTTAAAGGAGTGGGGGTCTTTGTAACAATTCTAAGCACAGTTTCTTTTCTTTAAAAAGATTTATTTAACAAACAATAAGAATAACAGTGTGGGTAAACTCAGAACATAAATTGAGTTTCTCAAAACAGGTAGAAACAGGATTCCTAAAGATCATCTTTCACACGGAGAGAGCTCTGAGTGATTCAAAGGGCGCTCGGACACCTGGCTGACCTCCTGGCCAGGAGAGGATTTCAAGTGAGAAATGGATGTAGCTATGGAGGCCACAAGCACTGGATCCCCGCAAAGCTGGAATTACATGCAGTTGGGCATTGCCTGACGTGGGGGCTGAGAACTGAATTCAGGTCCTCTGGGAGAACAGTGTGACCACAGAACTACTTAGCCATCTCTCCAGCCTCTCTGAACACATTTTCAATGCACAAGTGAATATGTTCTATCTACAGTAATCCTAGGTGCATAGTGTTAAACTCTGGCTCGTTACTGCCTCTCAACACTAAGGAGAGAGCTCTACGGAATATTGAAACAATGCAGAATTCCATCCTAGTTCTCAAAACACACAAAATTAACCTAAAAGGTTACCTTAGAGAACGAGTAATGATTGGCATCTGTATCATTTATTAACTAATTACGTGAATATGTGTTAGAGACCGACAGAAGATGCATACGTGCACATAGATGCATGCACACACACACAGAGCCAAAACATAGATCTGTATTAACGATTACAGTTTTAGTTTTAACTACAGTGTCTAGTTACTTCCACCTGATCCTCTCTCTGCTCCATAAGACCCTTCTCCAGACTCTGTGTGTTTACTTTTAATCTCTTGGAGAAGAAATATCAAGTAATAAGAATACACTGGTTTAAAGCAAGATTTCATCTTGAAGAAATGTGAGATTGGATTTCCTGTATGTGTTCACTGGCCAGGTCAAAAGCTCAAACCCCAGCCAGAACATAAGCGGTTACCTCAAACAGTGAGTGATGGAGGTGTTCTGCTCCACATCAACAGAGAGGTCAAGAAAATCTTCATCTTTGCTACTCACCTGAAGCAAAAAAAAAGGGGGGGTTAGGTATACAGCGGACATGGCCCTTAAAACTTTGAGCATTTACAGGTGACCTGACATGTGCCAGCAGTAAAGGTCACATGTGGTTCTGACTGCTCAGCAAACCAGTTACTTCAGCACATCCCAACCAATCCCAGATTTCCAATTCAACTTCATCCCTTTCATAATTCTGATTCAAAACCTAGTAACTGAAACTCAACCAGGTTTCTCTTCCTCTCCAGCGATGTTGCTCATTGTTCTGATAAGCATCTATGGAGCCCATGCTGACAGAAGATGGGGACAGAAAAAGGACAAGCAATAAGAAGCCTCCATCCAGATGGTGGCCCTTCACCAAGTTCAGTCCGTTGACGTCACTCCCTTCCTCCAGCACCCTGTCAAGCCCTGTGGGACCAGGGAACTGGATTGTCATGCTAATTCCCATCGAGCTGTCCTCCGAAAGTGGTCACCATGTGGAGAATCCTGTGCTGTCATCCCTGAGCTGGTCACACAGCCCATCATGACAAGGGCCACTCTCAGGCAAACTAGCTCACTGGTTCTGGTTGCTCCTCAGGATGTCACATGTCTGTCAAAGCTCACCAAGTAACTGCTTAGCCTCCACTCACTCAACAACAACCCTGAGGTTTTACAGTTTTGCTGGTGGCGTGGGAGGAAAGAGCTGACCCAGCCACAAACTTGAAATGTTCAGTCAACTATGGTAAAACAAAGATCACATTCATGTAAAAGAGCAACTACTCTGTAACCACAGATTCTAGAAAGGGAAATGACCTAGAGAAGTACTCAAAGTTGCAGACACGCTCTCTGATACTATTATGGGTAAACATAAAAATGGGGTTGCTCCTGTTGCCTATGAAGTGGATGAATTGAAGCCATTACTTAGACTCTCTATACCTCAATTTCTTCGGTGGGCTAGGAAGGACACCATCTAAGACTATATTGTAAGGTATATAATATATGCAAGAGCTTTAACAAGTAACTGTTTAGGGCTGGTTCGTGGAACATTCTTATCCCAGGAGTTGGCAGACAGAGGCAGGTGGATCTCTGTGAGTCTGAATCTGCATAGCAAGTTCCAGACTGGCCAGGGTTATATAGAATCCTAACAAACAAAAAGCTGGATGTAGTGGTGCATGCCTTTAATCCCACCCTTTAGGAGGCAGAGTTTGAGGCCAGGCTGGTCTACATAGAGAATTCCAGAGCAGCCAAAGCATTCAGTAAATGGAGGAGAGGTAAAATGTTTAATGGCTTAAAATGTTCACAGAGCTAGAAATGGTTTGCTACATGGCAGTTATACTAAATGAAAAAAGTAGGCTACACAATTCTGTTCACTAACTCTAAGACTGTTTAAAAGGTATGGACAGCCTTTCTGGCTCCCTGTCACCTGCTTTAACTGTGTAGAGCATTTACCCCTGCTGTGGTGGAAGCCATCCTAGTGTGTGTGTGTGTGTGTGTGTGTGTGTGTGTGTGTGTGTGTGTGTGTGTGTGTGTGTGTGTATGAGAGAGAGAGAGATTTTGAGACAGTGATTCACTATGCAGTCAAGCCTGGCCCCGAGAGTGCCGGGATTCTAGAGGATTGTAGACAGGCAGCCATGCACCAGAGCACCCAGCTCTTTCCCCTTTCTTGAATCCGAGTGCAGCCCTGTAACTTTGGCCAGGGGAGACGTTAGAAGGCACATTATAAGCAGAGGCTTGGACACACATTGCTAAAACTGCTTTCCCTTTTTTAAAAATTCATTTTATTTTATGTGTATGAGTGTTTCGCCTACATGTTTTTCTGTGCATTCCATGTGTTTCTGGTGCCTGCACAGACTAACAGAAGGGGCCGGGTCCCGGGAACTAGAGTTATAAACAGTTGTAACCCACCATGTGGGTTCTGGGAATCGAACCTGGGTCCTCTGGAAAAAAAAAAAAGCAGCCAGTGCTCTTAACTGCTGAATCGTCTCTCCAGCACCGTGAAACTGCTTTCTTGTACTTCTGCCATCACCATCAGAATGCTAAACCCAGGAGCTGTGTGTTGGTGGCACATGCCTTTAATCCCAGTATTTGGGAGGCAGAGGCAGGCAGATTTCTGTGAGTTCAAGGACAGCCTGGGCTACAGAGTGAATTCTAGGACAGCCTGGGCTACACAGAGAAACTTTTTCTTGAAGAAAAAAAAAAAAAAAGAATGCTAAGCCCAGGCTGACCCTGCATTCAGGAAGAAAGCGGAAGACCCCAGGAATTGGGTCTCAACTCTGACACTCATCTAAAGTAAAGCCCCCAGCCAACTTATGACACAGGAATAAGCCAGCTTCAGCCAAGTCCAAACCTAAATCAGTTGACCCTAAGCTAACACGTATTACAGGAGTTATACTAACACTTGATGGTTGCACTCCAGCCTCAGAGCTAGAGGGTACTGATAGCAAACAACAGAGGATTGATAGTACCACAAGACATTACATATTTCCTATTTTCCTTACTAAAGCTCGAAAGGTTGGCTTTGATGGTAACTAAGATTCTAGTTTATTAACATGCTTCCAAAAAGCTATAAATCGCTGCAGGTAATTATATACTCAGGTAACCATCCATGAGAAGGAGGCCTCGAAAGGTGTTAGAGAATGAATATAGACAATACCTTCCTGAAGGAAGAGTTGTACAGAGTGACAGATAGAAAGGGGTCATTGGTCGCTATCTTTGCCTGGGTGTCTGTTGGGCAAAATGCAGTCTTTCTGGTCTGGGGGTGAGGAGACTTGAATCTAAGAAATCATGTTCACCAGAAAGGAGCAAATCTGACTGACCACTGAGCTCCACATGCACAGAGCACCTTCAATGCACTCAGCAGACCCAGTATTCAAACTGCCACCCAACAGGCAGAATTTCTGGTTTCAGTCCAAGATAAAAAACTAAGGAAAACTAATATTCATTGAAGAAGGATAACAGAATCCAGAATCTCTGCAACTTAATGTCTCAGGGTTCTTGACAAGACCCAAGCTTACAGCACACAAAGAGATGGGAAAATGGAAGACATTCTAAGACAAGGAAAAACAGACCGAGACCAACCCTGGGATGACCCAATGTTAGGATTAGCAGCCGAGGATTTTAAAGAGAAACCCCTCTAAACTCAATCCCCAATACCATGGGAAGAAAGGAGAAAAAGAAAACCAACAAAGACATTGTTATATCCATCTTCAGCAAAATAAAAGAAAACACACTTGTGGCAGGGCATGGTGGCACACGCCTTTAACTCAGCACTTGGGAGGCAGAGGCAGGAGGCCCTCTATGAATTCAAGGACAGCCTGGTCTACACATCTTTCTAGGCCAACCAGGGTTATACAGTGAGACCTTGTCTTGAAAACAAAGATAAAAGTGAGTTCCAGGACAGCCAGGACTACCCAGAGAAATCCTGTCTCAAAAATAAAGAAAGAGAGAGAGAGAGGAAGGAAGAAAGATGCTTGTAATAAATTTAAAAAGGAATCAGGTGGTGGCGCACACCTTTAACCCCAGGACTCAGGAGGCAGAGGCAGACAGATCTCTGTGGGTTTGAAGTCAGCCTGGTTTACAGAGAGAGTTCCAGAATGACCAGAACTACATAATAAAAGAGATTCTGTCTAAAATAAAAAAATAAAAAATAAATAAAAAAACAAGGGGGTGAGGCAGACTAGAGGGAAAACAAAACAACAAAATATAAATCACAGACATTTATAGACCTGAAAAATAAACAGGATGAATCTCCAGCAAACTGGATATTGAGGGAAAGGGTTATATGAACTTGACCTATCAATGGGAATTCTGCAGTCGTAGATAAAGGAGAAGGATTAACAAATGTTCAGGGCCTTTGGAACGACTATACAGACAGCCAGAACCCTAGAAGAGGGCAGAAAGAGAACTAAGCAGAAAAACTATCTGAGAAATAATGACTGAACAGTGTCTTGGTTTGATGAAATGTATACATATAAATAAATTCAAGAAACTCAACAATCACCAAGCGAGACCAGAAACAAAGAATGCCTGTCAAGAAATATCAAAGACCAATTGTCGGGATCCAAAGACAAAGAGCAAGTTATAAGTATACAGAAGGAAAAAAGAAACATCGCATACAGGACAATGATTCAAGCAGTAGTTGAGGTTTCACCCACGGAGGTCAGAAGACAGTGAAACACCACCTTTAACATGCCCAAAGAAGCCTTATCAATGCAGAATCTTTACATGTCACAAATAAAACCTTCAAGAGCAGAGGCAAAAAGAAGAGAATTCTTTTGTTGTTGTTTTGTTTTGTTTTGTTTGTTTATTTGTTTGTTTGTTTTTTGAGACAGGGTTTCTGTGTAGCCCTGGCTTTCCTGGAACTTGCTCTGTAGACCAGACCACAGACTCAGAGATTGGCCAGCCTGATACTAGTGGTGATGGTGGCAACAGTCATCATGATGGTATTGGTGGTGGTGGTGATGATGGTGGTGGTGGTGGTGGTGATGATGTGATGGTGGTGATGATGGTGATGATGATGATGATGATGATGATGGTGGTGGTGATGGTAGTGATGGTGATGATGATGATGGTGGTGGTGATGGTGATGATGATGATGATGATGATGATGGTGGTGGTGATGGTAGTGATGGTGATGATGATGATGGTGGTGGTGATAGTAGTGATGGTAATGATGATGATGATGGTGGTGATGATGGTACCGCTTATAGTTAAAGGCGGATTTGCACTTTAAACATGCATATTCATAGACAGAAGAGCAGGGACCATCTTTTGTAAGTGCTCTTCTTAGTACCTGACATCATTTCCAGTGTGCAACAGGTACCCAATAAATACATACTACATGAATTACTCGACTGAAGAAAAACTGAAGAAATAGAAAGAGAGCTAAATCAGTGGCCTCTCAGAGGCAGAGACATGGATCATTTTCCTTTTGTTTCATATTTCCCTCTTTACATTAGCCCACAAATACTATATATTTAAACTGGTAAAGCACTCTCTTAACTGAAACAGCCCTTCCCTGGGAGAAG